TGCCCTCTTCGTTGTTCTTCATCCCCTGCTGTCCGGATACAGTGGAGATTTATGATGGTTGTGACGTCGAAACCTTGACCGGAAAGAGACAAGGCAGCGGGAACTATTTTGGTGGCGGGCTGCGTAGCCGCACGCGCTTCTAACGACGTTTCTTTTCTTTTGCGTGGATTTGTTGTATATGTATATGTATAGGTATGTTTGTTGAAGATTAAACCCTTTTTTGAAAAGGAGGGTTGTGGTGAAGAGATACTGTTGGCGGGGAAGTAATTGTTTCTGGTATGTGTCGCTGCGTTTTCCTTTTCATGTCGATAGAAACGATGAGCTTTCATCTTCTGTTCGGTGTTCATCTTCTGCGCAGTTGACTGCAATGCTCTTTCGACGAACCCTCGTCAGCTCAATCTAGTGACAGCCACGGGCTCCACCTTTCACATGTTCGTAGTGCTTAAAGATTGACCTCCGCTTATGGTGTCTCTTATTCGCGTGGTTCATCGCAGATATCTGGAAAGAAGTTAGCTGTTGATCACTTGATGAAGAGATGCTAACCTGTTCTCATATAGTATCAACATTGCCCTACTTTTCTGAAGTCCTTCTATCGTCAAGGCCGCTAGTTGTCGGTATTTCTGAACCTGTATATGACCCATCTATACGCCGATCTCCCTCTTCTGCAATCGCATCATGAGGAGCAGTAGCAGGAGAAGCTGCAAGATCCAATCTCGAAACCAGAAGTTCAAGCTCAGAGGTCGTGTCCGCAGTGTCTGAGTATCCAGAACAGATCGAGTGTCTGAAGATCCGCACGCAGGCAAACAGACGCTGTCGTCTTTCGTGATTTTGGGCTTTTACGAAGTCTTGTGGTTGTTTTGAAGTTCGACAAGCCGTTGATTGTAGCAGGAGGGGAGTCTTTGTCCTATTGACTTGGTGGTGGGAGGGTCTTGTTCCGCCGGCCGGAGTTGGGGGCGGATTAAGCGACCGCTCCATCTACCACAGGGGCACGCGAGCAGACAAACCCACACAGATATATTTACTTAAATCTCTTCGTCCCTTCCTCAGCGTTCTCCACAGTCCACATCGATCTTGTCTCTCATAGCGCACGGCGACACCTCAAGCACAGAAGACATCGCGAGCACAGAAGACATCGCAAGAACCGTAGCAGCATTCTGGCCTCATACTTGCCGTTCTTTATCACTCGACGGATTCTTGTATTTTCTCGGCCTCTAGAGGAGTTGGCCATCTACCTGGTGTACACGTACAGCTAGCTACCTTACCCACCTTCACACTCCCCATCGACCACTGGTCGCTCAATTTCTACAGAGTAAGCCTTGGTCGTCCTGACTGGTTTCACGAGGCTATCGCTATCCACCTACCCACCTGCACCTGTCTGTACACCCCTGAGTAGCGCGAACCCTGGAATACATACCCTCCAGCTACCCACCCTCGTACTCATCACCGAGAACTAGCAGCACCTACACCTCCACAGTTGCTAGGCAGATATAATATTTGGGTCACAGATTGCTTCTACGAGGTATCAACATCTAGCTACCCATATTTGTACTACCAAATCGCAGTGGCTCCTCCTCACAGTACGGAGATTTGATCTTTGGGTTACTGCCTGGTTGCATGGTACTGCCATAGTCCCACTACCTAACATCGTACTCGCCACCAACGACTGGTGGCTGCTGTTCCATACAGTAGGAAGACTTAATAACAAAGAAGACGCACCTCGAAGCGGAAGTGAGCACCTGTGCACTTCAATCTTTCTTGAATTTGTGGGCAGAATCTGCCAGTTCAGACAAGGAGTCAAGCTATCACATCGTAGCATTGATCTGACGACAATTCGAGCACTATACAGCTACTGTGCACAGGACTACCCTAGTCTCATTGCTAGTCCAACTACCAAACATCGTACTCGCCACCAACCACTGTCTCTCTCCTCAGAGGAAGTTACCCAGCGTCGTAGCCTACAGGTACATTCGCTACCATGTCTCTCCCTCCAACCTATGAGGAAGCGACCAACGACAACATCGTGGCAATCATGGCGCCATATCTGGAAAAATATCTAGATGGGACTTCCCTTGCAGCGACATGCCGCCTGTCGAAGGAGTGGCGAGATGAGATGAGTCTAAGGTTGTGGCGCGACCCGCTCAGAATCATCTCGCGGACGGCAACACCTTTCGGTAAGCTCAAATGCCCCTATTTATACCCACCTACTAACAGCTTTGAGCCCGATCTGTGCAGTTTCTGGAAAGCATTATCCCGCAGATCGGCAACGAGAACAAGTCGTACACCCTTGACACGGTCTTGACATTGACCTTCGGACCCCTTCTAGCCCTTCGAAACCAATCTCATCTGCAAGCAGAATGGAGATACCATGAGAACCTCCTAACCACTCAGCTGGCATTCAGGTCTACTCAGTACTTCCCGAACCTTCGGTTCATTATAGTCTCTGGATTGAAAGTGGAAGCAGATAGCTCTCCATTTTGGGGCCGTAACGACAATGGTCCACGACCTGTCCAAATATTATTGCTCGATTTGTTTGAGTTACGGGAACTTCGCACTTCTGATGTTGCCTCATCCGGCACCTTTGTGCCACTCATGTTTCTTGATTTATCAGGAACTACCGCTGGCCCAGAGTTCACCCGCCAGTACTCAGGTGGTTTGTTTCCGAATCTTCGGATTCTCAAACTCAGAAATATGAATCTAACAAACAGCATGCTTCCTGGCGCCGTTTTGCAGACTGAGTTCCGTCTTTGGAGCTTGGATCTTGCCTTTAACAACTTGACTGACCGGGCCGTGGACCTGATCATAGATGGTTGCTTTCTCGACTTACCGCCTCAAGCCCCACAACTTCATCATTTAGCTCCTCTGAACTCAGGGGTCGAGTTGGTGGAGGCAGTGCCCCGCTATACGGAACTGCCAGCAGAACAGAACAACTTCCGAGCTGACGACAACCTTCCGCTTCGGCCGGACCATGAAATGGAGTTTAACATGTACATGCAACGCCATGCGCTCTTGACCCAGCACATACAACCAATTCTCGATATCAACGACGACATATTGTGTAGTACGGGCCTGACACAGCTATACATCAGGAATAACAAACTGACCGCAAGTGGCATCTATCGACTCCTCCGCAGAGGGCGCCGTCTGCAAGTCCTCGACGCTGGTTCGGTCATTTGCTCCAGTATCGAACTAGGAGGTGCTTACCCAAATACGAGGTACTTCATGCAGCCAGATAGCGTGCACCCAATCTTCCACAGATACGGCAACCGCCTAGAAGTCCTCCGAATCCACCACTCTCTGGTGACTTACTGCCCGACGATCATGTCATCGTCTGAACAACCAAACGGCTACTCTTTCGAGTATCTCTACAAATCCGAGGCTGTGTTTGGAGCGGCACACAAGAGGAGTTGGGGCGCCTTTGTACCATCGGATAATCACCGAATTAGGGACTTGACATTGACGAGCATCCCGTGGAGGTCCTACGGCATGATTATCGACCAGTTGAAGGAGTTCATCGCCGACGCCGCCAAACAAGAAGCACAGCTCCTCAAGGACAAGTCGAAGAGCCGTCGCGCTCCAAAACAGCTATCCGGCCTCAGGAAGCTGACCTTAGAGATGATGAGGGAAGATACTCGCGGTTCTGGGAGTGGAAAGTCTGCATCTGGTGACAAGGACGCGGATATCTTCGCGCAAGCATTAGAGACGGATTACACGTTCTTTTCTGGCAGTGATGTTGAAAAACTCTCCATTGCCCCGAAGAAAAAAACTGTTTTCGGGACTGAGTGGGGTATACCTGGCGGGTTGGGATTCGATGTTACGAGGAATAAGGAGAGGGCGGAGATGGTTGATGAGACGAAGTTGCCGGTGTATATTGTATTGGACGAGTTGAAGAAATTTCGGGCAGAGATGGAGCCGAAGTGGAGCGGCGATATTATACTTCGTCTAAGTGATTGAGGGGCTTGTTGTGGTGGAGTTTGTGTCTTTGGCTGTGGGGTAAATTGTTACCTCAAGGGACAGCAATTTGATCACGCCCGTAACAACATCGCATTGTTCGCGATGTTGGTGGCTACATCGGAGGAAAACTGCCGGGTTCAGCGAAAATTGCTCAGGTATCATATGGGAGAGAAAAATGCTCAGATATCATATGAGACAATTGCTCAGGTATCATATGCGACAGAAGGTTGCTCGGGTGTCTCATGCGAGTATCTTTGGGTCGAACTGCATTGATTACATCACCGGGGTTCTGATATGGTCCAACAAGGGTCCTGTAAATAAAAATGAAGCCTGTCCTCGTTTCATAGATAAATACCATTGGATATTTTGTTTCTGGAATCCTGAATTTCTTATATGAGTGTATGTAAAAAGTCAAGGCAGGAAATCACATACGATAAGATGAAATGTGATGTGGTGGTAGTTGATTATCTGCAGTGGTGCTGGAACTAAAACATCGCCATTATCATCTACTATAACTACCTAGACAAAAGCTGTTGAGGCAACTTAATCCGTTCCCTCGCTATAGTCATGTCGTTTCGCATGGTGCTTGTATAAATCTTCCCTTTTGCTTCACTCTAGTAAACATACTTTCTCCATATCCTAGTGCTAAGTATATCCTTCGCTATCATTCTAACAGATGTTCAGTAACGAGTGACCGCCTGCGCTTGCATTTCTAAGTCCCGGGTCACGTTACTGCGTGGAGGAAAGCATTGGTCATGTGACTATGACCTCCATACACTAACCTCAAAGGGAAAGGCTTTCGGGCGGCTGACTAAGGTAACCCTAAATTCAAGCTAGGTAGGCATGAGAGCATCGGCGTCTAGCGTCATGCCGAAGTGAAGTGAGTGAACTGAAGTAGTCTGGAGAACAAGCTTCATCAAAACCATCAACACCACACGACCGCGAATCTAAGACTTCTGCCGCCTCTTTTCCCCCCTCTTTATCACATCCCTTCGTCTGCTCCACCCACCCTCTTTCTTTGAACCCGTTTTCCGAACCACCTGTCAACCATGCGGATACCGCAGACCAGCACAGACGCGGCCATGCTGCTTACACTTCTCTTCCCTCTCCTCTCGGCCGCAGATGGGGGTTTTGATTGCGGTAGACTGGTGAAGGACAAAGTCTCTTTCGATTTCAAAGAGCTTTCTGGCGCCCGGTCAGTCATGATCAGCGATTCTTCGAAATCAGCCAGTTACTTGAACACAACATACACAGTCGATATCTGCCGGCCTTTGAAGCGGGTGGATGATGTGCCGGCAGAAAAACAGTGTCCTCATGGCACCAGAGGTAATTATTTGCGAACGTGTATCTGTCTTTACCAGAGTTGTGCTGATATACCGTCAAGTTTGCGCAATCGAGCGTGATATAAAAAAGGACGGCTCCTCGGATACGATCGTGGACGCATATCCCATTGCTGGCCAGTTGATAGAAAATGGAGGGAAGAATATGGACGCGAAGTGGGAGCGTCTAAAGGCCTCGAAATCACATTCGGATGAGGGCAAGGAGGGTTTGCGAATGGAAATGAACGGAGGTTTCCGCAAAGATGCGGATGGGAAGAAGCGGAAGCAAAAATCCATCATCGAGTTTGTATGCGATGAGGACAAAACTGGTTTGGAGAACCTTTGGGATCCAGAAGACAAGTACGACGACGACGACGAGAGTTGGAAGCGAGGGGAAGATGAGGGGCAAAAGGAGGATGCAAACAAGAATTACGACCCAGCCGCTTCCAGCTTGAAATTCGTCAGCTACAAGGAGGATGCTACAGATTCGGACTTGGATGTATTACGATTGGAGTGGCTAACGAAGCACGCTTGCGAGAAGGAAAAGGAAAAGGAAGATGCTGCGAAGGCCAATCGCTGGGGTTTCTTCACCTGGTTTATTCTCATGTAAGTTCTGCCTTCCATCTTTGTTCTCTCCTTATCTAGAATCAGCAACGCCGAACTTTACTGACTCTACTGCAGCGCTTTCATGTCTACAGCAACCTACCTCATTTTCGGATCGTGGCTCAACTACAACCGATACGGAGCTCGGGGCTGGGACCTTCTCCCTCACGGTGACGCAATCCGGGATGTTCCCTACCTCCTCAAAGACTGGATGCGCCGGGTTGTCAGCAGTGTACAAGGGGGTGGAAGTAGGGGTGGCTATGCGGCGGTATGATGGACTGAAGAATGAATTGATTCGAGAGAACGGGAGTTCACCAACACCAGAGATGCACTGTACATGGAGTGTCGGTGTTGAGAGATAACATAGGGTTTCGGCGCATGGGAATGGTGTGCCACATTGGAAAGTTGGCTTTTGTGTACTATTAACCCCAAACTTGGCTCGGTTTGCTTACATTACTTTCAAGCATTGTTTTGATCTACATCACGAAGCATTTGCCCTCGCACATACTTCAATGAAGAAACTAAGTGGTAGGAGCAGTACGCTAAATATTCATATCCCTTGTTACCGCTTTTGCCTACCCCTTTTTGTACACGTTTGTTGTCTCGCTATAGACTACCGACTAAGCAGGGCAAGCCAAATTCCCTCCATGGCATAGTTAGTCACTAATACGGGCCGCCGCACGTGACTCGAATTTTCCGTGTGTATAGCCTCGTGCCTAAACAAGACTTTATTAATATTCACAAGAATTTTCATGTTCCGGAGATACCTCCCTAAACCTATTTCCCCTTTCGTCAACTGCATACTACACTTCTTGCTACCTGCACTGCATATGCTACCCCAGGAAACCATTTCAATTTTGCGGATACACTCACTCTTGTTTATAACATGCTAACGACTTCTTGACTATGATATGGTAGAGGCAGGCCTCATATCAGATTCTAGTTTTTAGTGCTTTGCCTTGCCTCTGGATGATTAGGAAGCTCACACACATACGCTACTCTCTATCATAGTCACAAACGCTCCATTCATCTGCAACTGCTCACCACCGCAAACAAGGTCATCATCAAATCAAGGATCTAAAGATAGAATTAATCCATTGCATCTATCTATCAAACCAAATCCCCAATACTGTACGCCTACCAAAGATAAGATTCAAACCTAATCGCCTGAACCTGGACAAATACTAGTTTGTGCAACGATAGGTTTCCAACACCTAATCCCTCTGAAATAACCAAAAGTCTTCTTCAAAGCCCCCCTCCCCTCTCCCTCTCCCGCTCCCTGCCCTCTCTCCACTCACTCACTCACTCAATCCCCCTCGCATCCTCAACCCCCTGCGCCCCCTGCCTCGCCCTCGCCGCCTTCTCCGCATCAGCTTCGAAATCCACGCGCTTGATACACGCGCCGCACACGCGATGCGTGCACTGCCGATGCCATGAGTCCATGGATTCCTGGCACTGTGTTACGTGAGCTACTAGGAGCACAATGATACTTATCTCGCAGCGTAGAATGAATGAATGAATGTAGAAGTGCAAGTGCAAGTGGGAGAGGGAGAGGCAGGATATGTTGGAAATATAGGCTGTCCTTACCTTGGGCTGACAGCAATACCAGAAACCCCATTTCACGACGGGGGTGAAGGACTGCGGTACGGGAACAGCTGGTTCTGCGCTGGGGATGGAGCTGCCTGTGTCGCTTGAGATTGCGGGCATGGTCGGTTGTAGGTATTTTGTGGGAGCTGGTTGTGGTCTAGATGTCGGGTTATTGGGGGGGTAGGTAGATAGGATAGGTCGTTGTTGGAAGGTGATGAGTAGAGTAAGTACCTAAGTAAGCAATACATGATGTCCGTTTGCTTTACATACATACACCGATATCCAAGGTGCTGTGAATCGAAAGTCAAGGTTGGAGAAGAATCATTGGATGGAATTGAATCGTGTGATTTGTGCATTTCGCTTGAAATGACTCCGGGGGTACTGTAGGGTAGTCAATGGGATTGCTATGATGCTGATAAGATGTATGTTTGGAGCTGCGAGACGGTAGAGGAATATGGAATCGCTTTACTTGCAAGGGAGAAACAGATTTTATATTACGCTTTTAACAGAACTCCCTTTTTGTCGCTACTCAATGCAACCAACCCCAATGCTTTAATAAAGGTGACGGTTTAGTGTCTCTTGAAAAGAAAAATGCTGCCCCCGAATCACCACTCGTTCCAAGCCACCAACTCTAACACGTGAATGCGCAAGCCGATTTCTTTAACAGACAGACTGGTTGGCCTATGGGGATTCATTAGCGACTAATCTCTGCCTTGAAGGAATAACAAAACTCACCCTCGTGCAGTAGAACTGGTTCCAGCACTTCTCCGCCTCGGAATCATCCTCCACATTCACAATGTCCCCGGACCCGGTGTAGCAGTTGAAGATGTCGTACCCGGTAGAGCACGTGGCGATATCAGCGTAGTTTGCTGTCCCAACCTTCGTTCCCTCTGGCTGCACGTTGGCGCCGGTATCGATGGTGACGGAGAAATCATGTTGCTCGATCGTAGCTGTGTTGGTGTTGCCGGGATATCTCACGATGTCGGCATAGTTCCATTTGGAATTGAAAAGCGTGGAATTGTCGGCGGGGGGGCTGGTGTAGTAGATGATGGCCGAGTGGCCAGTGTTGCAGGATGTTAGATAGAAGATGTCGTTGGACGGAGTTGGTGCTGCAGTTGCAAAGGCGGCCATTGCCAGGAAGGAGACACAGGTGGCGAGCATTTTGGAGGACATTTTGAAATGTAGATTGTAGATGGGTATATACTCTGGAGATGAGAGATGTGTAGATGAGTATGTATGTACTGTGAAGATGAAAGAATGAAGGGATGATGATGATGAGCTGGTTTAGAAGTGAAAGGGTCAAAAGGGTTATATATGAAAATGCAACAATCATCTACTCCACTTTTACGAGGCTCGTATTCATGGTTCCCACGATGCTTGTGTTTGCGTATCTTCAATTCTTCCCCATACAGCAATGATGTTACCAATTCCCGATGGGTGAAATACGAGGATGCAATGCGCCCTGCTACTGCCAGGCTGCCACCAAATGCCAAAATGCGGGGACTTCGGCAGATAGACTACCGAGGAACCCGGCCAGTCCCAGTTCCTGCGTCAGAAGCTAAAATCACCTGCAACTTGGCAGTCTAAGCACTTTCTAGACAGAATAGTTATTTATGACTACAAATTCTGGCTAAAATACGAGTAAAATCACCTGCTTCATGACTTCCTTGCCAAGAATTGACACGTTTGTCTCTCAACTTTCTCAACAGGGCTGATCAAAGCCAACCGCCACTCGCCAAGCTTTAACACCACGACATTAGCAATTTCCGTCGTCCAAGATCGTCATTACAGTAAGGCAACCATCGACTATAGCAGAAATCCCCGATTATCTCCCGCGCGTGCTTCAACCAGATTTAGAGTTTCAGCCTTAACGCTTTAGTACAGTAACGGTGAGTTCGCCTCTGGATCTTCGGGAATTGAACCAACAAGCGTATGCATTAGGAGGATACAGTGGGAAAGACAAGCTGTCAGCGAGACAACTTGAACTGTGACATTCAGGTAAACAAATCTTCTGCAAATAAAATGTGCAGAGAATGATAGGACTGTACCAACTCTAGTAGGAGAGGAATAGACCTAGAAGAGATTTCTCCCTGCTCGTATAACACATCAAAAGCGAATTCAAAATCTTCCTCTAGTCGCTCGCGCAGGGCTTGACGCTTCAATGCAGGATATAGCTGGCTCGGAAAGATTTCCTAGGCATCCGATTTTAGCTGGTGTTTGCTTAGTCTTGAGACACAAATCTACTTGAATGTTAAAAAACAACAAGGTCTACAGCATGGACCCTTTCACAGGCGACGCCCTTTTCCCACGGAGTGGAGGTTCAACTTTGAGCAACCGCGTAACAAGGGCTACCAATCCCACTGAGGATTCAAAAACCAGTAGTTTTCAAAAAAGGCATATGGTTTCACTAAAGGACGGTCTTGCTCCACGAGACAAAGTGACACGTGTTTGTACAAAACGCTTAAATGCAACCAAATATCTAGTCTATTTCTCACATTCCTACAATTCATCTTTCGTCGTAGGCTTTTCCTCAGCCTCCTCATTTTTTGCCTGCTCCGCCTTGCTTTTCTCGAACCACTTCATAATCTCCTCCTCAGACGGCATCTCGCCATCCTCGCCAACCTTAAACATTGGCATGCCCTCATCGTTAAACTCCAATGTATTCTCTGGCTTTTCTGCCGAGCCAGTCTTTTTGCCCCCAGACTTACTCTTCGTCTTGGTTTTCTTGGGCTTGGACTGTTTCTTAGACTTGGTAGTCGGACGATTATATTTGGGGGGCTGTCTTATGCTCTTCATCGCGAGCTCGACTTGCATATCTTGCAATTCTTTTGCTTTAGCAGCCATATCTTTGGTGAGTAGCACGGGGTCCGCGGTTATGGCGAGGGCTTCTTGCTCAGTGAGCTTGGTGGTAAGCCAGGAGGAGATGGAGACGTAGAGTGATTGGGGGTGCGCTAGGTCTGCTTCGGTGTAGACTGGAGGGGCGAGTGTGGCTTCTTCTGGTGGAGACGAGACCGTTTCCGTAGACGGTTCGTCTTCGAGGTCTGCAAAATCGTCTACTGACGATGGAGATGGTGTGGCTGAATCTGTCGAAGCGGACGCGGCGCTTGACTTTGAGGCGCTGAAGGAGGCGTGGGCTTTAGTGTCGTTGGCAATTTGATCCTTGATGCCGGCGATTATAGTTTGTGTTGAGTTTAGAGCTTCTTGGAGAGCCTTCAAATGCTCTGGTCGGTTTACGGCTTCATCTTTTCGTGTTTGTATTGGGTTGACAATATCTTTCATTTCTTTCAACTTAGCCTTCAGTTCCTCCCGGCTAGCTTCAGCGCCACCCGAGTAGATCCAGTCACTGGCTGCTGCGGACTTGGCCTCCAGAGTTGCTCGCTCTTCGGCAGTAGATGCTGCTATGAACTCTTCGTAATCGAGCAAATCTCTGACTTTATAGGTGAAGCCTTCAAGTTGGTTCAAAGCCTCTTCTCGTAAACGACGGGAACGATCGGAGTCATCAAAGGCCACGATGCGGTTCTTCATTCGTGCGATTTCTGATGTAGGTAATTGCGGAAGGCCTCTGATTTCAGTACTGTACTTCAATGGAATGACCTCGAAGCGCTTCGTGATTTTCGGCTTGGCATCTTTCGAGTCCTTGGACTTGGTGTCTTTGGCATCCTTGGCGGATGGAGACGCAGAGGCAGAAGTGGAGGTGGAGCTACTGGAGGTTTTTGTAGAGCTGGAGGAAATGGATTCAGCCAAATCCTCGTCATCTGATAACGGTGCTTGGTCCTTCTTTCCAAATCCAAACATGTTTTTGACATTGTCAATCACACTCTCTTTCTCTTCTAATTCCTCGACCTCGCAGTCGACAACAGCCTTGACAATTTCTACCTGCCCGTTGCTTGTACTCAATCGAGTGCTGAGCTTCACGTTAATTCCGTCATCGTTGCATCCGAACTTTTCTTTGAGTATAGCGACTGACTCGGTGAGGTTTTGAGTTGTCAGGGTCAAAATTTCCTTTTCGGCTGAACCAGGAGAGACATTCTCGGCAGATGGAACGTGCTGGTAAAAGTTGATAGAGAAGTCTTTCTGGTTTTTGAAACTGTACTGCTTTTCAGCACCAAGAAAAGAGGTGGCTTGCCATAATCTTTGGTGCTGTGGCTTGTCATAAATGTTGGTCCACTTGATGCCAGCTGGATATGCTGCAGCTTCAGAAGCTCTGATCTCCTTCACTCTGAACGATGGACTGAGACCAGCCCCCCTGAATCCGGCACCAAATACAGCAGCCTCGTCGGAGTTGACGTTGGTTCGAAGCTTATCAGCTTTGCCAATGAACTTTTCTAGCTCCTTTTGGACAAATGGTGTTCGAGTGGCACCACCATGTAGGATAACCGAGTCGATGTCCTTGACGTTGAGACCGGCTACGTCTAGTGCTTTCTGCATTGCAACAGCAATACGAGCCGCATATGATTCAGTGAGTTTCTCAAATTCCGCTCGAGAGATCTTGTACCGGAAGTCAACGTCTTCATACAGACCCTCGAAGCTTGCTTGAGTATTGGCATTGGCGCTGAGTACTTGCCTTAATCGTTCGGCCTCTTTCAAGAGCTTTGAAGCGGCTCGTCCATGATCTTGCACAGCTTCGATGGTGGGCGAGATGCTCTTTGCTGCGGGTGATGCGATGAACTTGGCGATCATGTCATCCACGATGACCGCATTGAGAGCGTCACCACCAAGTGTCCTGTCCCATCCACTGCCCAGAACCTGTACCTCTTGAATGGTCTTGTTGTACTTTCCAACATCCTTCACGGTTCGTCCTTGGAATTTCAAAATCGTAGCCTTGGTGGATCCAGCACCCATATCGAATACCATGTGAGTTTCCGGGCTTCCACCTTCGTTGATGCTTTTGAAGGTCCGAGTTGTGGCGTAGTTCACACCAACAGCCAGTCCGTCACTGATCAATTCCAACACTCGAAGACCTGCCAAATCTGCTGCTAATATCACTGCTCGTCTTTCTTCTGCAGTATAGAACGCTGGGACTGTTATTACCAAGTCTTTTATCACGCTGCCCTTTCCGGCGAGAGCTTCGGCGTTCTTCTGTATGCTTTGGAGCTCCATAGCCAATATTTCCTCGACCGTCCATGCTTCCTCATCTGCAGCAAAAGCGCCACTTCCGAAAGCCGCAGTACCTCTTATCTTCTCGGCCTCTAGCTTCAATGCGGGGTGCCGCGAAGCATATTCCTTAACCACAGAGTTGTCTACTCTCAGTCCGAGGAGGGTCTTCAAATTTGGATACACATCTCCAGGAAATCGAGCAGCCAGGGCTATAGCATCGGAACCATAAACTCGTTCAGGGAACTCTCCACTCTTGATATTCTTCGAGGGCTTAAAAGCCACGGCGGACATTTCTTTCCGCCGCGAGTCTTTGGTCAAGACAATGTCGAGGGGGATCCCGGGTTTAACGAGAGCTGCTTTGATGTATTCGGTGCCGAGATCGACTCCCAGAACTGCAGACGCAGCCAGTGCGGTAGAGCTGAAGAGGTAGAAGAGGCATAGTACCGATATAAAGGGTGAGGAGAGCAGTCTGCCTGCTATATGGCGTGAGGGGGGCGCCATGTCGGGTGGTTGTAATGCGGGAAGCTGCTAAATGAGTGAAGCTGCAAAGGCGAATGGTCGAGGGAGGGGGGCAAGTTATAGAAATCCTAAAAGGCCGACATAAAATCTGTCCACAAGGTAATTCCAGGCGCCAGTTCGCAGCAAAAACAGTGGAATTGAGGTTCCGTAGAAGTTATTCGAGTCAGAAAGAAAAGGACACTTTGTTCGGAAGGAGCTGTAAATAGGTCTTATGGCCTTATATATGAGGCATTCATGACGGCATCGGAGGTTGAGGATAATCCGTGCCACTTGGCTTGGGATGAAAACAATCCATCCAATCCCATCCATCATCTTGGATTCACAACACTATTCTACTTCTTTATTAATGTTATGGTTAAACAATTCCCTCTACAGGATATCATTGCAACTAGCGCGAAAGTTCTAGATCATTACTACTCGCTAGTCGTCTGCACTCCAGCTGACATGGACAAAACCACCACAACCTTCTATTCAAGGATTTGCATACAGACATAACGAATTTTCTGGCAGGAACCACTGAGGAGAAGGTGAATTACGAGCCTCACTCAGGATTCCGAAGCAAAACGAGTAAGTGAAACAAGTTAATAGGACTTACTTGTCTTTGACAAAATACATTCCTCAAGTCAAAACTGCAAAACAGTACTTCAACCACGCACGTGCTTGCGATTCTAAAATGGCAGCAACACCTTTCATTGCCTTCCAAGGCCCTACCAATCTGGAGGGTTATGCTCGCAAGCGTAGACCATCTGAGCAACCAGCCAGCATTCCCAAAACATTTCTGGATGCTATGGAGGTTCGGGAGCAAGTCTTCGTCCTAGAACAAGGCGTGCCATTAGAAAATGAGTATGACTCGGATGATGCTAGAGCATGTCATTGGGTTTGTCGTCATGCCCCATTCTCGTAGACTTATAACTAATGGTACTTCAATAGGTCATCTACGCCTCTGTCAATACTACCACCGAGCCGGAAGAAACAGACACAGCGGGCAACATTGTCAAGCGGCAACAAAGTGTCACAAAGTCCCAGCCTATTGGCACTATCCGTCTCGTACCGTTTCCACATACTCCGCATCCAGATCCCGGCGCTTCATATACTCTCGATCCACTAGAGTCAACATCATCCGAGCCTCCGCCTTACATTGTCGATCGAGCTACAACCTATCATGACGGTAAAGAGCCATATATCAAGCTTGGAAGGATTGCAGTATTGAAGGAATTCAGAGGATCCGGAATAGCGAAAATCCTAGTCAATGCAGCAATGACTTGGGTACAGCAAAATCCAACGTATTTCAATCCGTCAGTTGAAATTATGGGTATGGATAAACTTGGGATCTCAAGTACAGACGAGATTCCAGTATGGCAAGGGTTGGTGTGCGTCCATGCCCAGGAACAAGTGACTAAGGCATGGGCGAGATGGGGCTTCCAACTTGATGAGGGAATGGGCACCTGGGTAGAGGAGGGGATTCATCATGTTGGGATGTTCCAGAGGCTTAATATTGGGAACCAGGGAATTGTACCTTGAAGTCAAAGACAAGAGGTACGTATATGTTACTTTTCTCCTGGTCTTCAACGCGATTGTACAAACCCGAAGCGACGGTGAGTAGGGCTAGCGTAGTTGATGAAGCTTATCTTAGAAATCACCCTCTATCAATACCTGGGTATAGACACACACCAATATCAATCTCCCTGAAGAAAGGCTCTCACCTGACTTCCCGTTAATTTCCTAAATGTCCATAATTAAAGGTTAATATGTTACAGATGACTATTGACATATATACAAAATATGGAATTCAAAGCAACACTTGACTAAATCAATCAAGTGGACCCGATCCTACTACCCCGGGGCTCGTGCTTGGGCTTTGGTTCGAGCCAGGCAACTCGAACGGTGGATTCTTAGCCTCCAACTGCACGGGTGGTCCATCAACGCCTAGCTGCGACCTCTCCACCCCAGTCCCATTTCCGTTCCCATAATATCCCTTGCCATTCTCTTGATCCCCCACATCCATTGGAACAGCTGATCCCGTTTTTGGCCTCGTCTTCTCCCTCCAACCCAGCAGCGCCAGACTCGCCAAAAGCGCCACACCAAGCGAAGCGCCTACGCCCGCACCAACCGCTGGAGTGTTGTTCTTCGGGCACGTCTCCTGACTCTCTGCTGCACCTGCTGCACCGGCGTGATACCCTGCTGCGTCAGAAGTAGGCACTGCGGTACTTGTTGAATTTGTTGTCATCGTTATGGTAGCGGTCGGCCTCAAGGTTGCGAGCATCAGCTTGCCGATGTTGGTAGTGAATATAGCCGAGGAGTTGGTGCAGCAGTTGGTTTTATCGTCGGGGGCGCGACAACACCATTTTCCCGGCGAGTCGTCGCTGCAGGGTATTACGGACCAGTCTGAGTCGAGTTTGTCTAGCGCACTATCAGCTTTCTGTCCTCTAGCCAGGCCGGCGATTGGTTCTGTTCCCAGACAGGAAATTGGTTCTCACCTTTGCAGTACTGTGGGCAAGTACTGCCCCATTCCGCATCCGTGCAGTAGTTCTGATAGAAAAACCCCGGTGTGCCATCTTGTCTTAAGCATAGTCCAGACGAAGTGCAGATATCACCATTGTCTATATCACAGCAAGCTCCTGGATTAACGGTCGAGTTGCATGGCTTCATTAGGGGATTCGCTGTGCCCTCCATGGAGTAACATTTCTGCGCGGTTGCAACTGTAGAAGAAACGAGGAGGGAAATAATGAGGCGCATTGTAATTTACTTCTTGTTGGAGAAGGACCCCGTATGGAATACCAATATCGAAAGTAGCAGAAAAGATAAAATAGTGTGTGAGAAAGGGAGGAGGGTGGAATACCTCGTATACGTGCTGTAGTAGTACATGGTCCTCAATCCTATGCCAAGTATGTTTGCTTGCTGAATGCAGACTCAGCCTCGTGCTACTTAGAGACACCGGTGATAATCTACGGACGTAACAAGTTCACAGCCTGCAAGTGGTTCGCTTTATCATCGGACCGCTGCCACCATGGGCATCGGGAATCCACTTGTTTGTCACAGAACATTAGACCAATGAAGAGAGAGAGAGAGAGTCCTGTCAGATCCAGTTTTGTAGGTGCTCCAGCCTCCAAGTATAAATATATGCTTATTTAAGCGGATTGTCCCGAGATGATTGTTTCACATGTACTCCGTACCTGGTAACCTCACCTCATCACCGGTGCACACATTTCGCTCTCTTCCGAGGCAACAGAAGAAAGAGTAGGAAATAGAAAAATAGAAGTCATGAACCACAATTAAGAAACACGTTTTTAGAATAAATGAAATGGACCCAAGTAAAGAATACAATCCCACTTCCGAGCTCCTAAGAGTTCTGCAGAACTTTCCTCTGGATAGAACTGCAATTCCTGAAATTGACGTAATAAAGTTGCACTGCACTGCGCCGCTCAGGAGGATCCATGATAACCGAAGTTTCAGGTTGCAAAACTATTTGCTTGGAACATCCAACGAATCCGCGAATGTTCAGGCCAGGTATCATATGTGTCATTTTAAGCCAATCTACGGAGTATATTTTGAACTCTCGAGTCCTGGCCCAGGACTCCTGGGAAAGATAGGGCCGGCGAAAAATGCCAACTCGGCGCGGGGTAGATCTCACTGGTCTATAAAAGTAAGCTCGAACCCCGTAAAGGGGCGGCGGAATAGGTGGTTGTGGGGTAAGGGATAGGGGCTCGGCTCGGCTAGGCTCCTGCCAACTCAGGTCGCGAGGTATAGGGGACGATTCTCATTAGTGAGGCGTCACGTTACCTATAGTCTATATGCAGATTCCCCAGGACCCGTTTCAACAACATTAGGATTTACTATGCTTATATAAAGTATTATGCCGGGAATAAAGCATAAAAGTGAAGAACAGATTGATAATATTGGCGTAATATTATATATTATATTTAACGTGACCGGAACGTGATCACCATAGTATACGTAGTACCTATAGAAGGTACAGTAGCAATTGATCACGATCCATCATGATATTAAGGTAATGATTGAAGTGCACCGTATCTTCAGCACTCGAGAGAAATTTCCACGTCCACGCTGTACATTTTTCGAAATAGGAACAAGCAGTGTGTCAACTGGAATTCCTAAGTCATATGAATACGGTCCTACTCCCCTCAATGTCTCTGCCAATTTTAACTTCGCCACGAGAATCGTTATAGTACCGAAAGTCCTAGTGATCGTCAAAGAATCCATCCAGTTCTGTCGCATATCATAGCTTTAGAACCTAACTCAATGAGTTCTCATGATGACAGCCGCGTTCTCGAGCTTTGTTAGCGGAGTTCCCGTAGGTGTATGTTGCCACGTTGAGTTTGGATATAGCAATTGTTGCTGTGAAAGCCGAAAGATAGAAAAGTCCATGTATAAATGTGTATGAGCCAAGTTGCCAATTGTCCACGTTGGCTCTATCGTTGTTGTGGATCGGGGGACTCCTGGTCCTGTACGGTGAGTTCGAGGGAGGGATTAGAAACCCAACCAGAATCTGTGTATGGGCGTATTTTATCACACAAACTTCGGAAGGTCATTTGTTCTCACCTTGACTCGGGTTGCCGCGAAAGTCCTGAACAATGACGCTTTAGCGCTACCGAGAGGTTCTTGGTCTTTTCGCCTCAACATGCCCTTCTCAGCCAGAATTGTAAGTCAACTCGCGTGGCAGTCACTTCTGTTAATAGGCGCAGTAATAATAAAGGAGGTAGGATAAGCGAGGCGAGGCCATTCAGGGTCTCTGCCGACATTTAGGGGGTGGATGATGTTCCTGATCGACAACTAGACAAGTTTCAAATAACGAAACCAGATCTGGTAGTCACGTGAAATGCTTGATCCGGGAAAGTACATAAAGTGGCGGCTAGAACCTGTACAAGTAGAAGTTATGGACTAAAACAGTGACCGTGTGTTTTTCTGATCACTTGATTGTTCGTAGAAAGGTGTGCTGATTTTTACAAGACATTGTAATGATCAACTAGATGGAGTTATGAATCAGCTCAATACCGCCCCTAAAACCAGACTTTATCGCCAAGCCGCTACATGGCTGCCGTCCATAATCCTTAGTGCCATCCATAGACCCCAGATTTTGATCGGGTAAGATATTAAACCCACGCATAGTAAAGGCACGGTAAGAATCTAGGTGGGGGGAGTCCACTCTAATTAAGGGCCGCACTGGCCGCAAACGTTACTTTAAATGGTTAAGGTACCAAATTTACTCAGATTCGAATAAGTGGGTTCGAATCTTCACACGCGGCAAGTGAACAGGAATTGGCTACTGAATGTTAAGATAACTGGTTCTAGTCTGCTAATCTTAGTTATAATATCATAGAAAGCTAGATTTGTAATCCCTGGCCCCTGAGTTCAAGCTCCTAGTGTCATAGACCAACAACTAATCTTAGTCGCGATGTTATAGAAAGTGACAGCTCCGAGTTGCTAGGACTCTGTTTATATAGAGAGTTGGGGATTCCATGAGCCTATATAAGGACAAGTTAAGCCTTCGTATGGCTTTCCTCTCGTTTTCCCCATACCTTTATGCGAAACTATTCACTCTCAGCTTACTTTGAGCTATAAATCCTAGCGTGCAAATTGTGACTATGGAATAAAGTTCAGACAGTCAATGCAGTATTCAGCTAGTCGTTAGTACCGGTAATTAATTCATGTTTTAACAAGTCGTCCCATATAATCGGCGGGATTCCCCTACTAACCTTCTTCACCTCTATCCTCTAGGCAGGGATTCGTTTTGATTCGTCATTCACTTCTGATTTGCTACGCTATTTTTCCATCTTTAAAAAGCCAAATTCATCTATATTTAACTTCAGATTCTATATTAATAGCAGCTTTGAAAATGTATGACTTTAGACTTGCTCGCTAATAAATAAGCTTACTGTAAAGGCGGGGTACAATTTTAGACCTAAGCACGTGCAAATCCGAAGAAAAAAACTTTTCATCCGAACTACAACTCCCGAAAAGAATTTATCCGGCGAATAAACTTACATTACGCAATACGTTATACGAAGGATTGATCTTCTATTGGTATCCCGTAGTGGCGAGTTATACAGTACTACCTAGTACATGATCATGTCACAAGTGTTCCCATTCCTGACCAATTCTGGCTTGGGTTGCGAGCCACACCGCCAATGACCACCTTCCCCTTGTATCCACATCCGCTCTTAAGGCCCCAAGGCGCTCTCCACTACTACTACCAGCCTATTCCGCGACTAATCGGCGGTATGGGTTATTTCCAATACGCCACTACTTGTTCAACGCGGGGCAAAATTCCCGAACTGGTGGTGCCTTGCGAACCATCAAGCGGTTTGGCGGGCGGCTCACCGGAGATTTTACTTGTGTACGGAGTACGATTACTACATTCCATATTCTTAACGTGCTGTATACCGGTTTGAAAGTGGAGCGTAACAGTTCGGGTAGGTAGATATTTAAATCACTCTTCTTCCCTTTTGTTCCTTTTCATTCATCTCTCGCCTTGTCCAAAATGAAGGTCACAACCATTTTACCCCTCGCTGCTGCCGCATATGTCTGTGCCGCAAGCCTGCAAGACAGAGCTGGTATTTGGTTGACTGGACAGACTGTGAACACGACCAGCGGTCTAGTCAGTGGTCACGGTGCGACGAATCAATCGGGAGTGTCTGAATATCTAGGTATCCCTTTTGCCCAACCCCCAATTGGAGATTTGCGATTCGCTGCACCTGTCAAGTTTACCGGCAGCGCTTCTCTCAATGGCACGTCATTTGTAAGTTGACCGGTCTCAAATAATCAGTCACCAAGAAATAATGAGCCAATGAAAGGGAATAGGGTCCATCATGTCCGGTCAAAGCCTCCAATGCCTCTACTCCTTCGGTGAGCATCTTGATAGCGGCGAATATCACAGAGGCTGGAGTAGAGATGGATTCAATATTTGCTACGCCTAACAAATACTCCGAGGATTGTTTATACTTGAATGTATGGACGAAGCCACAGACTGGAGAGGATAAGAAAGCGGTGCTTGTTTGGATATACGGGGGAGGGTTCAATAGTGGGAGCGCGGCTATACCTGGGAATAATGGAGCCAACATTGCAGAACTAGAAGACGTCGTAGTGGTATCTTTCAAGTAGGTGTTCCTACTACACTTACCAGACCAAGTACTAATTGCACATAGCTACCGTTTGAGTATCTTGGGCTTCCCTGGGAATCCAGCGGGTCCAAACAATTTGGCTTTATTAGACCAGAGACTCGCTATTGAGTGGGTGAGGGACAACATCGAGAAGTTCGGAGGTGATAAGTCAAGAGTAACTCTTTTCGGTCAATCAGCGGGAAGTGTCTCCGTAGATCTGTACTCATATGCTTGGGTCAAAGACCCAATTGCGTCGGGCTTTATCGCAGAATCCGGAACAGCTTTTAGCTGGGGTCTGCCTCACGCTAAAGCTGATATCGCAGCATCATGGTTCACCGTCACCGCAACATTAGGATGTGGCAATGCTTCCTCAGACTCAACATCCGTCCTTTCTTGCATGCGCTCAAAGACCTCTACCGCTATTCTCGGCGCCCTCCCGGCCGCAAGTGGTATAGCTGCCGTCCTGGGTTATTTCGGCCCAACCATCGATGACACAGTCGTCTTCGCAAACTACTCCGAACGCACCCCCGCTAAGCTCCCCGTTCTCGTCGGAAGCAATAATTATGAGGCTGGATATTTCCGTACGGAGTTCGCTCTCGCCAACATGACAGTACCCGATCTCTACTGGGACGAGTACACTCTTCAAGACTTTACGTGTCCGGCCGGCATCCGTGCAAATGCCAGTGTCACTGCCAACTCACCCATTTGGCGCTACCGCTACTTCGGCGATTTCCCCAATACGCGGATATCGAGCGAAGCAGGAGCCTGGCACGGTGCCGAGATGCCTATTATCTTCGACACCATGCCAAGTGATCCGGCATCTACGCCAGAGGAGATATCCATCTCATCGTACATGCGCGGAGCGTGGGCAGCGTTTGCTAAAGATCCCGTGAAGGGCTTAACAACGTATGGATGGCCGAGTTATGATGTGACGAAAGATACGCTGATTCGATTGGCGTATGATAATATTACGGGCACGAACGCGGTGAACCCGGCGATGTATGATGCGAACTGCGTCTACGTTAACGTGAGTAGTACGGATGCGGTTGCTGGACCGTTGGCAACCCCTGGGGCTTCCACGGCGAATGCAACATCAAAACCGTTAACGTCGACATCAGGGAGCGCGTCGGGGAGTGCTGCTACTGCTACGGCAAGCAGTAGTGGAGGAGGCAGATTTGAGAGCCAAATTGGGTTCGTTTTAGCAGTGCTTGGGGTGGCTTGGTTCCTGTGATGAATTGATTAATGATGTTTACGAGATCCATGCAGGAAACAGTGATAATGTTAATGATCTGTTGCAATCGTTCAAGTCTTACCATCTCTAATTTCCCCCTTTTCTCCGAGTTGAGACGGCCAAGTGGATTTAGAACCGCGCTGAAATAATGATTGCGCTGTAGAACTTTAAACTTATCCCGGGCTGAATAGTCCCAATCTGTCTCAGCTACAAAACCCTGGATCTTTTCTGAATACTACGAACTATCTTGAAGATTGGTGGTGGTGCGCGCAAATAGCATGTATGTTGCTTATTTTACAGGCTTTTGATCACCTATAGGCGAAAGCCTGAAATAGCCAACCGCTTAACCCCTGAAATGCAGCCGAAAAATCCACTGACAGTCAGTCAGCTAAGTAGATTTGATAGGCAGATGCAAAATGGAATTGACTGGATTGGAGAAAATAGAAGCCCTTCTATATTCGAACAAAGATACTATAATTAACCTACCATGACTTCTGATTAACTGTAGCTTGCATTTTCAACAAAATAAGAAGTTTAAACCGCCTAATTGCATCGTTTCTATTATATAGAGTAATGAGGCTAATTATACCTTATTGCGCACCTTTTTATAAACCCTTTGCCCCCCGTTTTGAGATTACGACCCCTTTGCTGACCGTCTGACGCCCTGGTGGCCTCAAATAGACATGTATACACGTGACATAGAGCTTGATGCGGGAGGCGTTGCCGCATCTAGTTAGGATGACCCTGATCTGCAGCCGACTTGAATGAATCGGTCATCCTATACATATTTGGATCTGTATCTGGTCTGGATGCATCTCTCCCTCCATCGAGCGCCTGATCCTTTTTCCATGCCTTGATCCTCTCCTTCCTTCTGGCCTCATATTTGCACCGTCGAAACAGCATTACATCCCCGGGTCGACAGGATGTCGAGATGATGCGAAATGCCTGGACAACCTGAGGAAAGAAATAAGCGCCGACTGAGACTTGAGAAGCGGAGTGATAACTATCACGTGTGAGGCACGACGGGCACCTCGGGGCACAGCGGAGCACAGCTTTTGGCCACCTGTTGGGAAATACAGAGGAGAGAAAGATCGGTGGGAGGTTGTTTGAGGTCTGGAAAATGGCCATGGCGAATGGTGGGGAAGGCAGTAGTCAAGGGAAGAAGGCTACACCTACCGTCAGCGGACTCACCATCTTGACGGAAGATATCCAGAAGAATGTCGATCCAAACCCGCCAGGAATCCTGCGAGATTCCATTACCATGTCGGCGAGGAAAATGAACACGGATATTCCGGAAATCCTTCCGCATGAAAGAGTCTTTCCAATACAGATAGGCAGTGAGCTGTTTAGACTGAGTGGGGCAAGCATCAGCTCTGATGGTAAGTACTCCAATACCATCCTCTACTCTACATTTTACTTTATGGATCCGGGCTGAGAAACCAAGAGCACCCTCATACTTTTCCCAGTTTTTCCAGTGCCAACTGAAGCAAGCTGAAGAGCATGGCAACCAGTCGACCTCCGTACGGACGTTATATATCGATCGAGATCCCGTGACCTTCCGAGACATCTCTTTGCATTTACAAGGCTATCATGTGGCCCCACGAGATGGCAGTCATTTTGTGAAGTTGTTTGCGGATGCGCAGTTCTACAGCTGTGAGTATTCTCCTGTTCTGTCGGTCATGGATATAGCTCACATTCAAAGTACCACGGTTGATGTCCCAACTTCACGAAGAAAGCATCTTCATCTCTATCGGCAACCGCGAGTTCCAAATACCTCGCGAGCTCTTCTCAGACCCTGGGAACAGCCCAAACTATTTCTCCTTAGGCTTCGCCGTCTTCTTCACCACCCCCACCGAAATTTTTCCTGGTCTAAGCCGTGAAGGCCTCTTGCGTCCACCTTCAATACTACCACCCTCAGTACCCAACCGCTCCGCCGAGACATTTTCAGAGATCATGCATCTCCTGCGCGGCTACCCATTAAACATTAGAAACGAAGACCACCGAGCAGAATTACTGCGCGACTGCAAATACTTCCATCTGAAAGGCCTAGAGCAAAAGCTCGTCCGCCACTCCATAAATTTCAACCTCGCACGCAGAAATGAAGAGATCACCCTTCGTCTGGAAGACGTCCGCCAATCCGGCATCTCAGTCGTAGGCCACCCACCTCCCTCATCTTCTCCGACCCCCGAAGCATCGCATACCCCACAATCAGGTTTGGTAGGCTTCGTGAACTACGCGCGGCCATTCGTGGATGCCAAAGCCTACGAATTGGTCCTAGAAATCGGCGACGAGCGCACGATGCTGCATATCACGACTCACGCGCACACGCCCCCATCATTGCGAGCGGAGTTCTTTGGGGACGCTAAGACGAGGATCAGCCGGTTATTTGAGGTTATTGCCACGAAGCTTAACCTGCCCACCACGCAGCCTTTGGGGTTGCTGATGAAGAGGGGCGGTGCGAGTTCGCAGCCCGCAAGTCCGGGGAACACCCCGCTGAATGAGGGTGATCATGTCCAGGTCAGTCTGGGCAGTGAATCATGGGTACAGCTAGATGGGCGGGAATGGAAGGGACGGGACAAGGATATCGAGAGGGATGAGGGGAGCAGTGTTTCTAGTTCCATTATCGAAGAAGATCACCCACGGAAGCGGAGGAGGATGGGGAGCGGTGCGACGTCGGCTTTTGGGGACGAGACGTGGCTTGTTAAGACGGCGCAGTGGAGGTTGAGAGTGCAGAATGCGAGGAATGGGAAGGGTGGGGTGGAGTGCGTGCTTGTTGCTGTGAAGATTAACGCTGTTAGTGGGGAGCTGGGGAGAAACGCGCAACGCATGTTCCTTGCTTAGATATACAATTAGACGCATTTGAGGTGGATTATTATACTTAATTATTTATCGCTTCGTTTATAGCTCGCTGTTTACTTATATACCAGTTTTCACCTAAGTTATCATCACAGTATTTATCACGTGATTGGGAACATTCGTCTTAATTAATGCCTTCTTGTACGCAAGGCTTTTCATTTTAAGATTATCTTCGACTTAAATTAATACATTGTGATACCCTTCCACGTCTAGTAATTTGCCAGGATCTTACGCATTAATAAAACGCGGGTCTATCTCGCATTCGTCCCTGAAACCTCCTCATCGTTATTCATCTCACTCACTCTAGCCCTATACCTCCGAACAAACCCGTCTCATAATCTCAAACTTCGAGGACTAGAGATAGATATCTTTCCCAAATTTCATCTCGAGTCTCACCGCCCAAGAAGCCCAAACTGAACACCCTCTCAACACCCGTATCGCCACCCCCCTGCCCCATTGGAAGCTAAAGCTAAAAGCAGATCCAGCTACTACTGTGTGTGGCACTCCACCATCAGACCACCATTAGAGACAGCAACGTTCAGGACCAAGCTAAAAGAATAAACCGAGAAGAGAGATCAGAGATAAATTCATGATATCCTGGTTTATATGCTGTATTCCTCTACCTCTCCTTTTTCCAACAAGAGGATTGAGTGTTTCTTTACCACTGAAACAACTACTTCCAATTTCTCATGCTTCCTCCCCTTCAGAAGATACATCATCATTATCACCACTCCGCAACCCTTTCACTATACAGACCCCCCTTTCTGAACTTCTCTCATGTGTCGACGGCTGCCTTGTGCACCGGCCCTCCCATGGGCATGAGCAGAGCCAGCCTGATGAACACACCGGGGCTGAAATCATTATAGAAACGCTGTGGCCATAGCAGGCGCTCGAATAGGCTTGGATCTGCGACTTCTGCCCCAATGTAGCCGATGACTAAGCCTAGTGCGCCCGCTATTGCAGTCATGACAGCCGGGTGAAAGCGCTGTGGTTTAATAAATTATTATGAAGAAGGGATGGAATTTGTTCCTAGGGTTTGAAGATTAATGGATAGTTGAGAGCAAGGCATCGGATGAAAACACGAAGTATAAGAAAGAGAGGAAGCGGCTTGGGCACGGGTGTTCCTGGAGTTCCAGCTGAAACCCGCATTTCAACGCAATGCAGAGCCGCAGTCACCTTATTAAGTTACCTGGCAACAAACACTATGCAAGAAATCCATGGCGCAGGACTACTGCAGTGTGCCTATCCTTGCCGCTGAACAGGGCGGATTCTCTGCCGCATTGCAGCACAATCTTCTCGTAAAGGCAGTCCCCGAACTCGTGTGATGTCGTGATTGGTGCATTGTACTGCCATATATCCAGCTTTATTACGCACTGCCCATATGGCTGAGGTCAGAAATAGGGCGATTGGGATTGGGTCCTGTTGAACTAATTGCTGACATCTCTTGACAGTATTTAGCGCCCTGGAAAAGTGTGGCCCTTTCAAGCGTCCCTATAAAGTGGCCTAAGGTCGCAAGTGAAGTATGAAGAAGCAGAGCAGGGACATACACCGACTGCACTGCATCCACCCTGGAAATCGACTTCCTTGTATCTGATCTTTTTCTTCCTACCGCTTTATGGCAGCTCAAATATGTGCACATTTCCGGCATTGTAGCCTACTTCTTTTTTCACAACACCAACGCTCAGTTCACAGACTACGGCGAGGCTTCCCTGATATATGATCAGAGTTGGACATTTGGTTTAGTAGCTGTCGTTGATATGTCGGGCTTCCAGATGCGTAAGTGCTATATAACCTTTCCCGTCCTCCGGGGAGGAGAGTCGTGAGTTGACAGAAACTTAAGATTCGATCAAGCGCCAGGCGCGTAAAGAAGCATGGTACGGAGACTCGATGAACCCGTTTCGGCAGACTGGTAGGACTTCGACTTGGCATAATCACAATGATCTCGAAGATCTCAATGAAAGACCCTCATCAGCGTTTGGTCGGTCAGATTCTGTGTCATCACCAGCAACAACACAGACTGAACTTCCCCTTCGTCGTCCATTCAGTTCGGACGGGAATGCCATTAGGCGCGCTTCACCTGAAGATCAACACGAGATGACAATGGCAAATGCAACAAGCTCTGATCATGGAGCAAAAGCGAGCATACGAAGCTCCATCACACCTAGACCTCCAAGTCAGGAGGCCAAAACACGCTGGAGATTTGTGTCAAAGTTCTTTCGTCGTGTGGTCGACCTCTCCAAGACCGAGGATGAGGATGAGGAGAGTGGTGTGAACCAACGGACAAAGTGGAAGAAAACAGTCCACAAACCCTTCACAGTGAGAAACCAAATAGCAGCTATCATCATGGTGTCATGGATTAGGGTTCTGCTATTACTCACACCCGTCGGATTTGCTGTCCATTACTCGCATTGTAGTTCGACAGCTGATTTTCTGGTTAATTTTTTTGCAATCTTACCCCTAACTGATATGTTTGGACAAGCCTTGGTTGAGCTTAAGACTTGGGCTGGAGACCCAAGATTGGAGCTTGTTGCTTATATTCTCTGTGGGTAAGTAGCTTAAATCTCTATTACCCCCAATCTAACTAACATATTAATTCAGAAACATCAACCAGACGTTCACGTCCGCCCTTCTTCTTCGCAGTCACCAAATCACTGTACTTAAAAGCACCCTCTTAGGAGGCATGCTTCTTAGGATCTTGCTGATAACTAGCATTGCAATCCTAACAAATGACTCCCGACACAGATTCCAGAAGAAGTCTGTAGCAGTATCACTGAGTAAGCATCTAAGTATTGCTTTGACGGGCCTTATCATCCCAACGGCTCTTTCGATGGTCACCTCACCCAATACAACCGACATTCTCAAGCAATCTCGTGGGGTTTCGTTTGTGCTCCTGGGTCTTTATGGCCTCTATCTCTACTCGGAGTGGCAAGTGTACTCACTACTCGGTCTCATGAATTTAGTTGATTCCAAGGACGACAAGAAAGTAGGCAAAGGCTACATAGCTCTCAGCGGTGGTCATGTTAAGTTTTCCCTATCACTTGCAGGCTTTTTGGCGGCTGCACCAGGTCGACCGAGGATTCCAGGCAGGGTGAAGGAACTAGATCGCCCAGAAAATTACGACGAGCTGATAGATATCAATGCGTTGAACAAGGATGAAGAGAATGTTGAAAAAGAGCCACAACTTCATTTCTGGAATTGCGTCTTGCTTCTCTTCGTCATGGGAGCATTGCTTGCACTTCACATCTTGTTCATCTCAGATAGCTTGGTTGGGTTTACACAAGAGACGGGAACGACGGAAGAATTCATCGGCTTGATTCTTCTTCCTATCTTAGGACTCGACTCGACGCTGCTTCATCTTGATAACCGGTCTAACAACGAGACGGTTGCGCAGACAACTTTGGGTTTGGGATTGCAGACTATATTGTTCATGATGCCACTTGTAGTACTTGTTGGATGGGCCGCAGGTATTGAAGGCGTTGATCTTCTCTTCAGCCCATTCGAGGTCACCGTGCTGTTTCCTGCTGTCCTGGTGGTGCAGTCTAGCATCGAGGAAAATGATAAGGGATGGTCAGTCAGCCCCAACTGCGAGGATTTAAAGAAGGCTGCTGACTTTAGAGATCTAGGTTATCGGGTGCATTGCTATTCTCGACATACCTAACCATTGCGATTGCTGCATGGTTCCAGAAATGAGCCCAGAGATATCAATTACTTTAATATATATACGTGACAAGATATATTAATACTGGTGAGTAGAGCAATACTTTAAAAATAATAGTTTATTTAGATCTAAAGAGCGTAGAATCAGCAGAAGATGCGCTACATAGGTAATGATGAGCCCCTGAGCTGCCCAATTAGGTAGGCAAAACTATTTGCGCAACTGACAGGATTGATCATTTGCCGCCGTCATTGGCTAGCTGAGCTGCCTATTACAGTTAGCCGTTAGCAAATCATCACCACAACAGTCAAGTCACGCTTACTACTAGAATAACTAGTTTTATAAGAAGAATGTGAGTCGCAGTATAGTAGCTGCTAGTCTAGCCCCTCCATCTTATAAAGGGCCTGGGAGGCCGTAAACTCGCTAAAAGAAAATCCCTTAAATCAGGAAAACCTCCACCAACTGCCTTCTCTTTTCACCTCTTCCTCTAATTATCCCCTTATTATAGAAGATAGAATCGTGTCTGCCAGCCAATGCAGATTTACTTTCTGGGCGATCCGAAACGTTAAAATCGTTGTTGTCGTCAAAAGAGGGCGTCGCAAAACTTTCGTCCGATCGTCCAAATCCACCTCACTACACTGCAATACCCTCTTCCACCTCCTCCTATAACAGCTTTTATTTTACAGTTCTTCCTCGTCCAAAATGCTATTTCCATTCCAGCTTTTTGCCATATTTACCATCGTGCTCTGCACAAGTACTCTTACACCGCTCAAGAGCCAAAGACAAATAGCAGGTAGTGCAGGCTGCGGGAAGAAACATTGGTTTAACGGGATCACGCAGTACGATTTTGGACTGATGAGCAGTGGTCGAAAGCGTAGTTATTCCATCCATTTACCGGCTGATTACAACGAGACGAGCCCGTATGCTACGGTTCTAGGGTTCCATGGGTCGCAGAGCGTGGGCTTGTTCTTCGAGGCCGATACGAGGATGAGCGAGGCGCGGTATAGCTCTGGCGTGAGTTGTTCTCTTTTTTCCTTTTCTCCAATTAAGCAAGCAAGCATCTTTCGTGTTATGGTATGTATGTATGTATGTATGGAAGGCTTATGGCAAGGCAGAAAATAATAGTTTATCCTAATGGTGTTGATGTAAGTCCACTACCCCTACCCGTCCAGTATCCTCAGCTTAAAACTCCCGTCGTAATTACTTGCAAAGGGCGCATGGGCCGGAGCGAACTACTCGACCGTCAGCGTGGACGAAGACCTCCAATTCATCTCCGATCTTCTGCAGAACCTCCGCTCCAACTTCTGCATCGACGATCATCGTATCTACGCTACTGGGTACCCCTCCCCCCCTTCCATTCCCAACCCCTTCGTTGCCTCAATTCAATCCAACTCGCTAGCTAACGTCGAGCAAATCCAAACAGCATGTCAATCGGCGGCGGCTTTGTAAACACCATAGCATGCGACAGCATCGGAGGAGAATTCGCTGCTTTAGCCCCTGCTTCTGGGTCCTTCTACACAGACAATAACGCCACGCATGATAGCTGCACGCCGGCTCGCGTCCCGCTGCCGGTGCTAGAGATTCACGGGGGGGCCGATCAGTCGGTACGTTATGGGGGTGGTGTTGGTGAAGGGGGTGTTGAACCTGCTATCCCGAATTGGTAAGTTACGCTACCTTCTCTAGCTGCATCTTCTTCATTCCGCTTGAAATGAATACGGGCAGATATTTCTCCTGTAGGTATGCTATTGTACTGTACTGACTACGTTTCCTGAGAAGGCTGGATTGGTGGGCCGCGCGAAACAAATGCGCAGATAAAATCGTTGAAGATAGCTTTGACGGCGACGTGCACCATTCTACATGGACATGTCCTGATTCTCGCGGTATCGGCATTGAAGGGCTTCTGCAACATTGGAAAGTCGATGATATGGGTGAGTGAGCTTCGAGATCTTGTTTGTGTATAGAGCTAGACAGGCAGGCAGACAGCTGACTATGCATTAATGGCGATTACTATAGGACATTGCTGGGCATCGACCTCGCCGAACTTTTCGCAGATTAGTGTTGGTCAGGGACCGACTCATATCGAGGCAAGCCAGTTGATTATGGCATTCTTCGATCAGTTTTCAAAGCCGTGAGGCTAAGCAAGTTTCATCTTGGCTTCTATTACTTAACGATAGCTTCAAGTGGCCCCGTCTCCAGCTATGGCGATTCTTTTTGTCGAGGTCGACCTATAGATAGCTGTATATTACGAAAGTTAGTTATATATTAATATAAATCGTAGGCTTCTTATATGCGGTACTGTATTAATATACGTTCTATCGAATCGATTTAAAAGACTGAAAGAGTAGGTAGGTATGTAGGAGAACAGGACAGGTTTATTTGAAAAGGGGCCCGTTAAGCGAGACTTACATTACTGTAGCGCGCTACGCGCTCTCCCCTGGAGTCTGGATTCATACTACCTGAGGACCCTTTTCCTTTAGCCACCTTACTCTACCTATCACCAACCCAAGCAAAAGCTTAACAAAAAAGGACCCGGGCTTTACCTATATACACGCTTTGTTCTTCCCTCCCTTTTTTACCCCCGAAAGCGTACCAAAACGCATTTATTCATTTCCAGCTAGTCAAACATACCATGCACGCACGATTGAGTGCAAGGCAAGACAAGGCAAGACAAGGAATTGTAAATTGTGTTGTTGATTCATCCATCTACCCAGGTAGTTGCTACCTTTTCTTTCCATCGGTTCTATTGATTGAATAGGATCAAATAACCAAGATTACGCCTGTAAAAAGAAAAGAGAAAGAGAAAGAGATAAATAGACAGATACACACTTTGTATACTCCAGATCCATATCCATACGAGAAAGGCTAGTCGGCGAGGGGTATATATAAGAAAGATTGCCCCAATCATCTCATGTCATGTCATAACATCACAGCCCAACCTCTTCTATTCAAGTAAGTGGTCGTCCACCAGCCCCACCATTTTGACTAACACTCGCCCCTCTACTCCTCCCCTGCTGCTGTCCCTGCACTGGCACCCTACTCGATGACGTACTGTTCAGCGCATGTTGACCCTGCTGCTGATACGGGCTCTGTTGTTGATATCCTTGCGCGTTCGCATTCGCATTCGATGTTGGAGGATAAACATTATACTGCCCCGGCTGTAGCGCAACATTATACCCCGCTCCAGACCCAGAATACGGAGCATTCGTGCTATGTGTGGGATGAATACCCAGCTCTGCCTCCTCATCAAGCACATGCTCCATACTGGCCCTGAAACCTTGCTTCGTAGGACTAGCGGCCGTGAAAGTCATGCCGGGCTGCGTGTCGTTGGGAAGAGGAGGAATAGAAACACCGGGTTGTCTGCGGCCGCGCGTAGATTGGCGCTTCAAGAGCCCTTGCCGCACGCCTTCGATTTCAGCGCTTCGCCGTGCAGCCGAGGGGGACTCGCTTCTACTCCCACCTAATGTGCGATCATCTATACCGCTAGTCCAGGCTGCGTCGCTAGCTGGATTTCGTGCATTTAATGTCTGTGCTGCGTTGTTCTCGCTCTCCGCTGCGTCTTCGGTTTTAGGCGCGGATGGCACGAGTCGTTTCCCTTCTTTTGCTTCTTTTGCTTTGTCGCGGGCTTCGGTGGCCCATGTATCTGAGATGGCGACGCTGTAGCCAGGGTTCGTGGGGCCGCCTAGAGCCTCGCCGCCGCCGCCTGGGGCGTAAATTGGTATCTTTCGTAGAGCGAGCACCAGTGCGCACATGAATTTCGAGCGACGAGCTGCCCGGACGGTTTCGTTGGACCAGTTTGATTTGTGACGAATTTCGACTTTGAGTTGCAGTTTGTCCATGTTGCCGATTCCTGTAGCCTCGAGGGTTATTTCAGGCTGGAAGTCACGCGAGTTGTCAGGGTGGCGGACGAAAGATTCCATTTCTTGGCGGAGGAGTTCAATATCTTCGAGGGAGGTATCAAAGGAGATGAACATGTCCAATTGCTCTTTCATTGCTTTTGAGCGGGTGACATTTTCAATCCAGAGGTTGTTAAGGACTATGTTGGGGACTTGGACCATTTTCATGTTGTCGATGCGTTTGAAGATGGTGAAGAGGAGGGAAATTTGCTCGACAACTAGGTGTTCAGCCGAAGAGCCGACCATGTCGATTCTGTCGCCGACGTCGTAGGGATGCTTGACGAAGAGGAAAATACAGCTTCCGAGGAATTCTTGGGTAGTTGCGGCGAAGACGAAAGAGAGGGAGAGAAGGGTTGTACCGGCTGTTGCAAGCATGGTAACGAAGTTGGTGTTTTGAAATGCAACTATAGACAATTAGTAAAATCCAAAAGAGCTTCTGGGAATGGTTTACCAAAGATGAAGATGATAATAATAAACAATATTAGCATGATGATTTGATCTAGGACCCCAATAGCTTGACCAACATCTCGCATGCTAGCAGCAATGGACTTCCTATCATGGCCAATCTCGACGACTTTCATTATCATCTCATCCAAGCTGATATCGCCATTTCCGTCATTATCCAAAGAAGCAAAGACTTCTTCAGCCTCCTCTTTTCGATTTGGTCCAAGGACTTCTTCCACATCTTCAACAAACAGAGCGTCCTTTCCTTCAACGACAAATGACATCCACAACCGCTTAGCCAGTGCCTCGGAAGATCTAGTCTTCTCCAGAGCTTCAACGACAACGGAGTGTGCAGAGTTGGGGTTGAATACTTGCTTGCCAGTTATCTCGGAAGCAATGTTTCCAAAAATCGAAGTGACCTTGTCTCCAACTCGTCCAATATCTCCAATAAGTTTGAGAGGGGTTGCTGAGCCTGATCGATGGTGCACTTTCTTCCCCGTAGTCTGGGCAATCATGGCCTCAATCCCATCATTAATGATGTAGTCCTCCTCCATGAACTCGCGACAATACATGGGGAAAAGAGTCCGAGAAGCATCGTATAAAAGCCCCAAAAGGTAAATGCTATGTTTAGACTCTTTGATACGCCCATCAAAAGAGCGGCGGTGGTAGTTGACACTGATGAGTTGGATTATGGATTTTTCGGCCAGAAACATCAGACTCGCAATAACAGCTGGCCCAAGAAGCTTGATCATTACCTCGATCCAACCTGGATCGTTTTTTCCGGCTGGCCGCTTGTTGCCCTCATTCAATGAATGTGATGTCAAGCCCTTGAATGTGAGCAAACAGGTAACAGCCCAGCCTACCAGACTGAGAGGGATTTCCACCGCTTTGAGTATAAGAGCATATTTCCTCGTGCCTGAGCTGACTACACCACAAAGAAACATGAAGATCCAGGGGATGGCCTTGGAGGCCAGCTTTGAAACCCATATCGATAACCAGACAATCTCGATCCACAGCCAGAACCAATTGACCTTGACACCCGTGTTCAGAAAGTAGTCGTTGTGCCTGCCACCAGTCGAGTAGATGATAATCGGTGCCGCAATCAATAATGCTATAGGGGCAACATAAACCAAGTACCGCGTAACAATAGAGAACTTGATAATTTTGTCGTAGAATCGTCCAATGGCATTAACAGACACCTCTTCTCCATCAGGAGTGTATTTATTGGGGTCATCACGATCGGTCTTCCTCCTGCCTGCAGGACCTGGACGACTCTTGAAGAAGCTCTTCTTTTCGTTTTCTGTAGCGAAGGTACCCTGACTCGTGGTCGACATGTCTGTTCCCTCGCCTTGTTTCCGTGCTCCTGTTGTCGAAGAGGCAGCAGAGCGGACTGTCGTCAGCGGGATGTTGGCTTCGTAGCTCATGCTTTCGTTCGTGTTTGCGAGGGGCTGGAAGCCGTGGCGGGAGAAATCGGGGGATTTAAGAGATCGCTGGGACATTTAAGGGGTGTGCCACAGTGCGGAGTGTGTTGGAATCCCTTTGCCTTTGTGAGACTTTCTCGTGGGTGGGAAGGAAGGGGGAAGAGGGGTTGGAGGGTGGAATGGAGATTGCGGATCGTGACGTTGGAAGATCTGCGAAGAATTGAATGAGAGGACGGCTTTGATTCAGAACGAATGTGTTGTGCGAAGAACCAAAGGAGAGTCGTATACACCTGGTCAATTGAGGAGTGGAGGATTCGCGTCGAGCGTTTTCTGATTGCAGGTCGGAAGTTCGAGTCGGATATCCCGTGGCACAAGAACAGTACAATCACAGTATGGAAGGTGTGAATAACAGGAAAGAAACAAGGAATGTAGAGAGAAGAAGTTAACCTTTCTCATGAAACTCAGCAAAGTATACGGAGTAGTGTAAGCCACGACCTGGCGTTCAACGCAGACGTGCGGTGCTCTTGACAATATACGATACGGTGTGCCCCTGATCCTAAATTTACTAGGACACGCCAGATTTTGTTAGCGGACGGCTGGACTGCAAGGTACCCTCGTACCGCTGTCCACCAAGAATACGAAACCAACGCCACTGAGAATAGCCTGTAAGGCGCGGGCCCAGCGGATTGGACAGTCACTTGTTTCACCATGACCATGCATCGAGATGAGGAGCTGGAATACATCACCTGTAAAAGGACTTTTATGTCACGTTCTTTTTACTTTTATGAAGATATTGCAGCATTTTGATACTATACACATAAACAACCATAGCCCCTTCCCCTTAATCCTCAATCCTTCAATAATCCAACTCAACTGCATCGAAGAGTTGATGCAAAACAAGCACTTCGAACGACCAATCCAATTCTTGCAATAGCACACACACACACACACACACACACACACACACACACGCACACGCACACGCACCATTACTGTATTAACCTCGTGTTACGTGCCAATTACGGAGTACGACGTACAACATATCTATCTAGCCATTAAAAAAAAAAAGGTTTAGCCTCTTCCCTCCGCGTATTATCCAAAAAGGGGGTTGAAAATCCCTCCTCGTTTCATCCTCCCTCTCCACTTCCATTCCATCCACCTCAGCTCTCAATCCGCTCTCCACTCCACTCCGCCCCACGCCGCACGCCAAGATCCGCAGCCCTAGCAGCGCATTCCGCCCTTTGAAAACAACGGTTTCTGAAAAGAGTCGTCATCGCACAGAAGATCAACCCATCCCTCATCATCTCATCAAACGAAACCTGGGCAGGAGAGATGAGCGAGAAGATCAAGATCGATGAGATGCGAGCCAAGAGTCTGGTATCTGCACTGCAGGCTGTCCAAGCGCGTGTTGCGAAAGCGGCGGGTGGGAGAAATGTATGCTCACATGACTCACTTACTCCATCCTTGCTCTGGTCTTGGTCGCTCATTTTTGATATTGATATCAAGGGGAGTGAGGATTGGGAAGAGAAGAGGCTGACATCAAGTAGGTACGTTTAGTAGCAGTATCCAAACTCAAGCCACCAGCGGATATACTGGCGTTGTATGAAGATGAGAGTGTGAAGCAGAGGCATTTCGGGGAGAATTATGCGCAGGAGTTGATGGAGAAGGCGGCGATGCTCCCGAAGGATATTCAGTGGCACTTTATTGGAGGCTTACAGAGTAGTGAGTTTGCTTTTCTTTCTTTTCGGGATACGGGGCGGTTTCTATATGGGTGGACAGAAAGAGATAGAGAGGTATGGTTAAATCCAATCACATGATGTGATAGGGGTTGGTCTGCTCAAGTGAGGAGGGGCATCAAAGTCTTGCTTGTGTAGAGGAGGTTGGTAGTCTGCCTATTTTGTTTGTTTATTCTACTCACTGTGGGTGTCTATTTGGTTTTGGTCGAGATGCCTCTATGTTCCCAATCTCCAAGACTATTGAACTGTCATTGTGGAATTGGATTTTCTTCATAAGTCCAGGACTTCATCTCTGCCATTCAACACCTCGCTATCACATGTTGCCCTTGGTGATTGGTTTAGCCCTGAAGGTCTTGGTCTAAGGACATGCTTTTCCCGGTTGGTAGTTCGAAGTGCGCCGAAACTGAAGTTACATAATTGGAAAGTTCTTATTAGCAGTTGCCATCCTAATGATAACAAATCTATAAGCTCATTCTATGGTCCCAATAGAAAAACGCACACAAGCCTTTCTATCCCCATCATATCTATTTTCAACCTCTCAATTTCCCACTCCCACTCACT